CTCACCTACATCGTCCACATGGGACGACTCGGGAACTCAACTCCTACCCCGGGCAGCTCACCTATCCCCTTATGCCCAGGGGAAAGGTATCAAGCCGTTTTACAGCTGATGCTAGCTGTCTAAACGGCTTTTACGCTGAAACAGGCGGGAGGCAGCAAACAGCTGCTTCCAACGAGGTCGCTTGCCACCGGAAGTCTCCCAAGTCCACAAGTCTTAACGTTGCCAAGGTTGAGAAACATTTCTGTACAGAGTTTTATCCAGACAGGTTGTTGTTGCAGTTTGCTTCTCTTATTTATACAATTAGCAGCTGTTTGTATGATAAATCAATAAATCAATTGCAGCGATTGGACAGGATTAACTGTAAGAGATTGGGGCTGCAGTGTGGCAGTTTTAACTTTTTGCTCTTGGTTAGCTTCTGGATTATTACCTTTCCACATGGTTATTTGTTTTGGAAGGGAAGCTCCCATTGAAAGGAACAAGAGTTTTATTTCTCCAGTGAATATTAAGTGCAGAGTCCTCACTCCAGATTGGAATGGCAGTAAGGTCAATGTTTAAAGTCTTTTTTCTCTCCCATACCTAAGTTTTGACCTGCTCCCCTTGTTCTCTGTGAATTTACTTTAATTTTGCTTTCAGATCTTATATTTTGCTGCCAACTAAATCAGTGCATTTTCAGATACTGTACAGCAAACCTGGCTGGGGGATTCTGGGAGCTGAAGTCCACAAGTCTTAACGTTGCCAAGGTTGAGAAACATTTCTGTACAGAGTTTTATCCAGACAGGTTGTTGTTGCAGTTTGTTTCTCTTATTTATACAATTAGCAGTTGTTTGTATGATACATCAATAAATCAATTGCAGCGATTGGACAGGATTAACTGTAAGAGATTGGGGCTGCAGTGTGGCAGTTTTAACTTTTTGCTCTTGGTTAGCTTCTGGATTATTACCTTTCCACATGGCTATTTGTTTTGGAAGGGAAGCTCCCATTGAAAGGAACAAGAGTTTTATTTCTCCAATGAATATTAAGTGCAGAGTCCTCACTCCAGTTTGGAATGGCAGTAAGGTCAATGTTTAAAGTCTTTTTTTCTCTCCCATACCTAAGTTTTGACCTGCTCCCCTTGTTCTCTGTGAATTTACTTTTGAAAACCATCTATACTCTGAGAATGGTATCCTCCCTTGTTTGATCCTATACTGTTTTAGTCATTTTAATTGCATGACAGTGCTGCTTAGAAGGGAATTAAGATTGCTGTGGTTAGTCACGAATGCTTATCCTGCTTAAACACACATGAGTCTTGCCATATAATTAGCTTAGGTTCTTAATTAATGACTAAACGACTGCTTCTTTGAACGTGTCTAGGACTTTGTAAATAAGTAGCCTGCTTGTCTGATAATAAGAATCTGCTCTTGACAGTTGAGCAAACAATGTTTTTTTCCCCTCTTCTTTATGTCAAAATGACCTATAAACTATATTGAGGGGAAGGCTAGAAACAATCAGTTGTGAAATAGTAACATGTTTACAGTACAACTTGGTGTCCAAAATTGTCTGGTTCTCTTGTCTTGCCTATTTTGTTTTAAATAACCTGGCTTTTCTCTGAAGTATTCAAACCAAAAACAATATGTTTTGTGGCAGGCTCGGGCATTATCTTAAATTCACACTATGAATTTGAAAAGATTCATTTTCAAAAAATCCTAATCCAGCCGCAGCAGAAAGTGGAGGGTCATCTTGACTGATATACTCTAAGAAGTTCTGAAACGTGAAGAACTGATGATCCAGTAAAGCCGACACATGTTAATATTGGCATGTGTGCTCTTCTTTAGTAGAGGATGATGACTCGATGTCAGCGCTGCTAATATTGAATATTCTTGCTTTGACAAAATATGCAGAACTGTCTGGTACTTTTAGAGTTAATTCAGATGAGAATGAGAGAGGAGAGAAAAGCCCATGGAAGGGAACAGAAGTGAATCTTTGCCCTCCAGGTTAATTGGAAGATGTGAATCATGACCCCAAAATAGGGGAGGGGAAATGCCTGGAATGTTATGTGCAAAGGAAGGGAAATTCAGATCTTGGCATTCTCCATGCCGTGCTGACACTCCTCTACACTAATAAAGGCTTTTTAGGTTAAACCATGCCTGAAAGTTCTTTGAAGTGTTTCATTAGTCAGACACATGACACTCATATCTTCAGCCACATGCTCTTAGGGAACCTGTTTACTCGTACTTTAAAAACTAGAATTGCTTTGTAGCTGATAAAGTAAGTTGACTTTGCACTCACAAACACTTTGCTCATAGTTTTGTATTTCTGGTGCAACAGGGAATGAGGTTGTTACGTCTGACCTAGTTTTGATGGCTTTCTGTGGCTTCATCCAAACTATTTTACATGCCATAATCCTTTTCTTTCCTTGCACGTCACAGAAACAGTTGCCAGAGGTTTGTAAGAGGGAGCTCAGAGTAATGCCCATTCATCTGGGATATTTGGATAGGGAAGATTAACTGAAATGATGATTTTAACAACAGAATTCTATCGTTACCATGCATGACAGGATAAACTTTCCTCCGTATTGAATATTGAAAGAACTCTCTCTCACTTGGAAACCATTGCTGGTTATCCTTATGATAAATTTGCTTACCTTATAAGGGTGTTTAAGTACAAAACTGGGGAAAAAAATGCATACTACGACTTGTACAGTTGTGTGTTTTAAAATGATATCTGTAGCTTCCTGTATCTGTAGCTTCCTCGCCCTCACCTGCTTTTTCCTTCTCTCCCACCACTTTTCTAAGGTTACTTGAACATGCATTCAGCTTTGAGCTCTCAGTCTTCTGTCGATAGCGAACTTAGTACCTCAGACGACTCGATTTCAATGGGCTACAAACTGCAAGACTTGACTGACGTGCAAGTTATGGCCCGCCTGCAGGAAGAAAGTATGTGAAAGCAATTTGCAGTATTTCTGTCTCTACATTAAGGCTACATCACCTACCGCAGGAGGATTTTTTTTTAAAGAAACAATAATACAAAATATTATTTTTCCACTTACTGAATTTTCTCTCATTCCGCCAGCACAAGAGTACACACAGATAGTTTCTTAGGTGGGTAATTGGGTGTCCCTGCTAGTAAATTAGATGTCCCTATTTAATGATAGGAAGAAACACGTCTGCTGCTGCTTTGGCTAAGTCTGTCTAGAAGCACCTGCTCTGGAACTCATTGCAGTTGCTTCTGAAGTACATGTGTATTCCAGCATAGTTTAATGGTCGGGAAAATAAATTAAAAAGTCTTGCTTTTGGAGCAGGTTATGTTAAGAGTATCTCATTAAGGATCATTGAGCCTTAAAATTGCACCTTTGTGAAAGAACTACAACAGACGTCCCCAACCTTTTGGGCACCAGGGACTGGTTCTGTGGAGAGAGGTTTTTCCACGGGCCGGAGAGTGTGTGGTTTTGTGTGCTGCCTGCATCCCACAGATGGGGCTTTACTTGTTTGTGTGGACTGATTGCTGCCATGCCGCGGCCCGGTACCGGTCCACAGACCGGGGGTTGGGGACCCCTGAACTACAATATCCCACGATGTTTCTGGCAAACAGATCATTTATAGCTCAGTATATTGAATCGAACATAACTCTGTAAAATGAAAAAGTTGTCGAATGAAAAAGTTGAGATGCTGATGTTTGCCTAGACATCTGAGGGAGGCCCTGTGGATTTACAATGTGCTGTCACTAGCAAAACTCTCCGGGTTGTTACTCTGCCCCAAAATGCAGATACTGGTTATGAGTGCTAAAATAGACTTGTCTGCAGAGATGTGAAAGCTAGATTGCAACCCTCATTTTGGTGCCTTTAAAATTAATTGAGGCTACAAGCCGAAAATGCTGCCGTTGCCTCGTGTAAGGTGTCATTTATCTCGGGTACAAGTCTGATGTGGTTGTTTCCTTGTTTGCTTTGCTAGCCCTTTGGTGGGAAATATTAAAACAGTATCGCAGCTATGCTAAACCATACGATCGAGAAGTAACTGTGTCTTCTGTGGCCGTGGCCGTCCTTCAGGTCTTCGTCAGGATTGTGCCTCCAGCTCAGCCTCCGTCTCCCGCCGCAGTTCCAGCGCCTCCCTACATTCCTTGCGCAGAGGCACTTACAGCGACCAGGATTTTGACACGTACAGCCTGGAAGACGAGGATGACGACTGCTCTTTCCCCTATCACAGCAGTCACAGATACTCCCCATCCCCACTCAGCTCCCCGCGGTGCCAGTCTCCCTCCACAAACACAGATTACGGGAGGGCCACAAATACCCGAATTCGGCCCCCCCGGAGGACAGGGCAGAGCCCGATGCAAGATAAACTAAAGTATTCTTCGAACGAAGGTGCGTGCTATTATTTCTGAATCTCGCTGGGGTTTTTTTTTAATCATCATGTCGATAACAGCAACAGTTGTGTTTTTAATTCTTTGTTACGTTATCCTTTACAGAGGAACTGCGTCACAGTATGCCTAATCTGGCTAGGACCGGCCTGCGATCTTTGGAGTCAGTGAGAAATAGCCGGAGCCTGGACTCAGATCTACAGATTCCCAGTAGTCGGCTCTCTAGAATCCATCAGGAATCCGCCAGTAAGTCGGCTTCTCCTGAAGCTGTCCCACGACATTTCAGTTGGTGTGATTGTCAAAATAGAAACAATAGCGTTTGAGAGATCTTCGCTTGAAATAATAACCCTGAAATAATGGTTTTAAGTTTGGAAGTTCTATGGGATCCCTCTTTGTTTTTAGTTCTTAAAGGGACTTAATCATCTGAGAAATCAGCTGGGCCTTCTCTGAAGAAGTGTGCCAGACCACAGTCATTTATTTATTTATTTATTTATTTATTTATTTATTTATTTATTTATTTATTTATCACATTTATACCCCGCCCTTCTCCTGGTGGACTCAGGGCGGCTTACAGCCAGTTTAAAACAAAATAACTAATACAATATACAAAATTTAAAATGTGGTTAAAATGAAATATTAATATAGGCCTTTTCTTTTTTTTTAAAAGTTATTTAAAAACCAAATTTAAAACACCCCTTAGGCCAGTCCTGCCAGCTGAAATAGCCATGTCTTGAGGGCGCGGCGGAAGGAGGGGAGATCCGGAATCACCCGGATCTCTGGGGGTAGTTTGTTCCAGAGGGTGGGGGCTCCAACAGAGAAGGCTCTCCCTCTGGGGGTCGCCAGCCGACACTGTCTGGTTGACGGCACCCTGAGGAGACCCTCCCTGTGGGAGCGTATCGGCCGGTGAGAGGTGATCTGTGGCAGAAGGCGGTCTCGGAGGTAGCCAGGTCCGATGCCATGGCGCGCTTTAAAGATGATAATCAACACCTTGAAGCGCACCCGGAAGGCCACAGGCAGCCAGTGCAGCTCGCGTAGCAGCGGCGTTACATGGGAGCGATCACCGCCCGCGCGGCTGCATTCTGGACTAACTGGAGCCTCCGAGTGCTCCTCAAGGGGAGCCCCATGTAGAGAGCATTGCAGTAGTCCAGGCGGGAGGTGACAAGAGCATGGGTAACTGTGCGCAAGGCATCCCGGTCCAGAAAAGGCCGCAACTGGTAAACCAGGCGTACCCGGTAAAACGCCCCCCTGGCCACAGNTAAACCATACGATCGAGAAGTAACTGTCCCTTCTGTGGCCTTGGCCGTCTTTCAGGTCTTCGTCAGGATTGTGCCTCCAGCTCAGCCTCCGTCTCCCGTCGCAGTTCCAGCGCTTCCTTACATTCCTTGCGCAGAGGCACCTACAGCGACCAGGATTTTGACACGTACAGCCTGGAAGACGAGGATGACGACTGCTCTTTCCCCTATCACAGCAGTCACAGATACTCCCCATCCCCACTCAGCTCCCCGCGGTGCCAGTCCCCCTCCACAAACACAGATTACGGGAGGGCCACAAATACCCGAATTCGGGCCCCCCGGAGGACAGGGCAGAGTCCGATGCAAGATAAACTGAAGTATTCTTCGAACGAAGGTGCGTGCTATTATTTCTGAATCTCGCTGGGGTTTTTTTTTGAATCATCATGTCGATAACAGCAACAGTTGGGTTTTTCATTCTTTGTTACGTTGTCCTTTACAGAGGAACTGCGTCACAGTATGCCTAATCTGGCTAGGACCGGCCTGCGATCTTTGGAGTCAGTGAGAAATAGCCGGAGCCTGGACTCAGATCTACAGATTCCCAGTAGTCGGCTCTCTAGAATCCATCAGGAATCCGCCAGTAAGTCGGCTTCTCCTGAAACTGTCCCACGACATTTCATTTGGTGTGATTGTCAAAATAGAAACAATAGCGTTTGAGAGATCTTAGCTTGAAATAATAACCCTGAAATAATGGTTTTAAGTTTGGAAGTTCTATGGGATCCCTCTTTGTTTTTAGTTCTTAAAGGGACTTAATCACCTGAGAAATCAGCTGGGCCTTCTCTGAAGAAGTGTGCCAGACCACAGTCATTCTTCATGTAGAAGTCTCAGTTGGGTTATTTTAATGCAGGGGTCTTCAAACTTGGCAACTTTAAGACTTATGGACTTCAACTCCCAGAATTGAGGGCTGGCTGAGGAATTCTGGGACTTGAAGTCCACAAGCCTTAAATTGCCAAGTTTGAAGACCCCTGTTCTAATGGGTTCTACACAGAGCTGCCCTTGAAGGTTATTCATATATTTCAGCTGTTCAAAATACGGCAGTTTCATTCGCCATCATAGGAGTCTTAGCACTAGGCATTTCGCCAAATGCATTGGCTACTGATTTAATTTGTGGTGCCCATCTAGCAGTTTGAAAGCATGCAAATGTTGTACCCAGTAGATAAATGGGTACAACTACAGTGGGAAAATAATAGTGTTCCGTGCACCTCGGCGTCTAGTCACGCTGACCACATGAGCATGGAAAGAGTCTTCGGACAACGCTGGCTCCCTCGGTTAAGAAACGCCCCCTTAGAGTTATCTTTTAATTTGTGGGTTCAATTGACAATTTGACTTCTCTAGCCTGCTGTGGCCTGGATTGGCTTCAGCCATGTGAATCGGCCCGAGAGCTTTGTCTCCTCCTGATCCCTTTTGGATATGCTCTCCAAATAGACCCACTGTCGTGGTTCCGACAGATGAAACTCTTCAAAGAACTTCCGAGGCATTGTTTACCTTAAAGAATCTTTATTGGAGCAACATAGCTTCGGCACTAACATAGTCGAAGCCAAAATCTGAATCCCCCTCCCCTGAGCACATGGTATCAAAGCACAATTCCCTCCTCCAATTAACAGTCATAAATCACGTTCTCCAATTAGTTTGAAATGCCGGCTTTCCCTCCAGTTCTTCAACCGGGCCATTTCTTATCTCTTATTTCAAAAGCACTGAATTCAGGCACTATTACAATATTAACTCCCATCACATTCCTCCTCCTCTCCCAGTATCATCTAATTCTAAGAGTAAAGCACGAGAAAGAATAAGGCTGCATCTCTATTATGTTGTCAAAGCCAGAACATCCAATGCTAGCAGCATTGACACCCACATTTTATAATTGTTAATATGGTCTCTTATTTTCCCTCCCTTCTGCTTTAAGGTCTGACTCCGAATAAGCTCCGCTATTCTTCCAGTGCTGGGCAGTCCCCCCTGACACCTCGGCAGCCCGTGAAAGCGGGCCCCTGTGTGAATGCTCTCCTAACCCCACGGCAGCCCGTTAGAGCTGCTGGATATGGTAGTCCAGCTGGCCGAGTCCGAAAACTACAGTCTTCCACGCTGACTCCAGGTGCTTCCAGTAGTGGCAGCTCAGTGTACCGAAGCAATAGTATGGCCGCCGGAGCAAAAAGCTCTCTTCCTAAAAACAAAGCATCAGTTGCAGGAGCATCCACTCTGAAGAGCAGGTTGACCCAGCCAGCCAAGCGGTGAGTCCTAAAAGCTCATGCAGGTGATGTACAGGTAGCCCTTGACTTAACAACAGTTCGTTTAGTGATGATTTAAAGTTAACAGCGGCATGAAAAAAGTGACTTATGACCAATTTTTCACACATAACGACCATTGCAGCATCTCCACGGTCACGCGATCAAAATTTAGGTGCCTGGCAACCAATCCATATTTATGACAGCTGCAAAGGGGATCCACCCTTGGCAGCTTTGTTGACAGGCAAAATCAGTGGGGAAGCCGGATTGACTTAGCAGCCGTTGTTACTAACTTGACAACTGCAGCGATTCACTTAGCAACCGTGGCAAGAAAGGTTGTGAAACGGGGTAGAAACTCCACTTAGCACACGTCTCACTTAGCAACAGAAATGTTGGACTCCGTTGTGGTTGTAAATCGAGGACTATCTGTATTTGGATTGCAATCTGAAACCTGACAACTACTTTGCCTGCCTGACTTTGCCTTGATCTCCAGTGCCTTTTCCAGCCCCCAGATTGTTAGAAGAAACGACCCAGTCGAGCAAGTCAAAGAAAGAGGCCAGCTCAAAGCAGGAAAGATTTCCCTTAATTGTAAAGAATCCCCCATCCTCTTTCCCAGTTTCAGACTGGTTCTAGGGAGGGGAGCAGAGGTTTGCCCTGTGTTGCATTTCAGAGGTGCAGTTGAGAGTAATTATCAACTTGAGGTTCACGTATAAAACTGTAGGATTGTTCCTTTAAAAACTTGATAGCCTACCTCAGGGGTCTTCAAACTTGGCCACTTTAAGACTGGTGGACTTCAATTCCCAGAATTTCTCAGCCAGCCCTCAGGGCTGGCTGAGGAATTCTGGGAGTTGAAGTCCACCAGTTTTAAAATGGCCAAGTTTGAAGACCCCTGCCCTACCTGGTTTTATTCCGCAGCCATCTAGCAGACTATGAGCCAAAACAAATAGCGGCAGATACTTGCTTTTTAAATAAATATATATGTTTTAAGGCGTGAGCTTAAATGGGCTCCAGAAGACGGTAGAGGACAGGAAGGCCTGGAGGAACGTTGTCCATGGGGTCACGATGGGTCGGACACGACTTCGGTTGGTTGTTGTAAAAATTCTGATCGCTGTCTATTACGACGTAGTTCAGAGGACAGAAGACTACTGACAAATAATTTCGTAACAGATTCATTTTACAGATGGACACACAGGGTTGTCTATAGGTTTCCGGTTACATAGACGCCTACTAAGAACCTTTCTACCTACAATAACTTGTTTGGTTGGTTTTTTTCCGTCTATTTGAAGAGTGACTTGTTTGTTGGGTTATGGAACTGGACAACAGCCCAGCTGGCTGGGCAGGACAGGCATAGGCCTCCATTTCTCTCCACTGCCACCATGCTTGACAAACTGGAATGATGTCTTTCGGAACTTGGACACTTGCCTTTGCGTTGTCTGGAGGACGGACATGGATGGCTTTTTTTGTGTGTGTTTTGTTCCTGCTGCTCTAGTCTGACTGCTGAGCCTTGATGACAGCAGTCCTTGCACCTGAAGGTACAGGTGGGGCCTGAGGCGCACACCTGAAGACCCGTTCATGGTACACGCGCGGAAGGAGAAGAGCGTGGGACAGACTCCTGTGGCAACGAGACATTTTTTGAGTCTGTGGGTTTTTTCTTTCTTTCTTTGCAAAAGGCAGCTAGATAAGGTAAACATAATTAATTAGCAATGACTGTTTTTTTTTTATGTCACTTGGTGTAACTTAACTTTTCTAGGAAATTCAGAGGACTTTTTTTTTTTTTTTTACTTGTCCCAAACAGGTAATCTTCACTACTTTTATTATTGTAAAAGTTAAAGGGTTTTTTTAAAAAAAATAATAATAGCTAGTGCATCATCTGTCACGGGAGAATGTCTTAAAGCTTGATTCCCCCATTTTCTCCAAGACTGTTTTATGTGCTGTTGCCTGCAGGCTGAGGTACACCCCTGCAGTGTGGTCTTACTTACCCGTTTGCTCTCTTCCTTATCTTTTAGCTAGGCAAGTTTTAGTGTGGATAGTAGCATCATCACCTTTGCCGGCTAAAAATGCACTTGAAGCGTTTCGTTCCCTCATGGTCGTTACTTCACCCTTGATACTAAAACTGACCTTTCTGCTTTTGTACAAGTCTTTTCTACTGTCCATTTTTTTTGGGGGGGGGAGTTGTTTTTCAATGAAGGAACTTGTTTAAATTAAATCTGTGGCTCATGGAGTTTGCCAAATGCAAGAATACAATCATACCTGGGAATGCAAACGGGCCTGTCCGCCAGCCCTACGTCTTGCCACCAATGTGACTTGATATTGTAGTTAATAAATGTGAAGGGGGCTAGTGCTACCTTGTCTTCAGTAGCAAAATTGCGTCCCGCTGCTTTCTTTACCCAGATAGATACACAGATAGTCCTTGACTTAACCACAGTTCATTTAGTGACGGTTCCAAGTTAATAGCGGCACTGGAAAAAAGGGATTTATGACCATTTTTCACACTTAAAACTCTTGTAGGTTCCCCATGATCACATGATCAAAATTCAGACACTTGGCAACTGACTCATACTTATGACGGCTGCAGTGTCCCGGGATTACATGATCACCTTTTGTGACTTCCTGACAGGCAATGGAGAAGCCAGATTCATTTAACAATCATATTATTAACAACTGCAGTGATTTGCTTAACAAATGCGAATCGCTTTGTGTAACAAGTCACTTTGTGTAACAAGCAAATATCGTAAAAACTCGCTTAACAAATGTCTCACTTAGTAACAGAAATTTGTGGCTCAGTTATGTTCATGGAGGACTAGCTATAGTAGACACTATCTTGAAATAAGAAAATTTAAGTGTCTTCTCTCAAATGAGATTCGTTATGAAAATGTTGGAAGAAAAATAACACACTGACACGTAGCAAATGCACCAGTCATGCTTTGATGTAGCTAAAGCCGAGGCAGTGACCCATAAAAACACACAATGAGAATTCATCAAGTAATTTTAAGCTTTCCTGTTAGTAATTTGCCAAATGAATGAATACTTGCTACAGTTGGACATTTTGTATTTGTTTCCTGGCCTGTTGGGCTGAGTGGTTTCCTTTTGATCCAGAAATGTTAATAACACTTAATTGTAGCCACACTGACTTAATCAGTAGGTAGAAGTATTTCTTGCTTGAAATACTTGGTGGATGAACTCACTGGTCATCTCCTGCAATGGGATGGAGACTTTCAACAATTAAGAATGGTTGTTATATAACCCTCTTTGCTTCCATTTATCCTGCCATGCTTCCTGAAATAACAGCTGAAACTTAAGAGATGGACCAGAGCATTTTCAAAGGATCATCAGACAGTAGACGTTAAGCAAGATAATGTAAAATCAGGTGTTGAACAGGCACACAGTAAAATGTTTTTGAAAAAACCCTGAAAAAATGGCTATTAAATTATAAGCACTACTGAATGTTTACTTGTAAAGTAAAGGCTGGCCAGTATTTGATTTCAGATTTTCAAACCATTCTGTAAATCCTTAAGACAATTTTGTCTAACCAAAAAATAAGGTTATGGGCGAAATACCACTTTGGACCACTTTTATAATTCACACTGGTGGTAACCTATCTCTCCAGTTTGCTGGCAGTGGTCCCGAAATTGTTTGCAACTGCTTCCCATTACTGTATAACCTGCCACAATCACAACCAGTCAAGATCAGGGAGCTACTGTCACCACATGAAGCTCATAGCAATGTGAAAGTTTTTAGATAAGGGCTCAGTGTAAGCGCTGAAAAAAGCCCACTGATTTTCTACTTTTGCATCACTGTTTATCCAGAACTTTAAAAAAGCAGCTCAGCTGTCAGGAAGGTCTTTGATGAGAAAAACTGATTACCAACTGTCTGCAGTTAAGTACATTTATTTAAACAGATTTAACTTTATTTTACAAGAATGCATCAGTGCATTTTATTAAAACAGGAGGAAGCCGCTTACATAAAGGCATTCAAAATGATAGAAAATTAACCATTGCTATTAACATTTTTTAAAAAAAAAACATGCACAATTAATTCAGTGTTGGCTTGTTCCTGCAAAGACATTTTGATGGAGAAGACCATGACTGTAGGAAACAAGGATAAGACACACCAGTCTTGCTCTCTGCAGTATGCTGAGGAGAGCAAGCAGAGACTACTTAGAAAACTAGAATAAGATCCTAAAATACCAACACTGGGGGAAGATTTAAGAATCTTCCCAGTTAAGATTCGTCCTCATTTACATTATGCACGAATGGGGGGGGGGGGGTTTAAAGTTTTTCACAAGTAATTTACACAGTTTTAGATTAAAAGTCGGTTTTCCAATACTTCATACTTCTCTCTAACTTTTCCCTGGAAAATCAGTAGCTTGGGATCCCATTCAGACAATACCTGCCTCTGTTTCTGAGCTAGGCACAATAGCTCCACTGTGCTCAAAGAGAAGAGGGCAGTCACTAATCCTGCACGGAGCGTGATCCCTTTGGACGTGCTAAAGCAGCTTTTAAGACACACCTCAGGAGAGGAAGCCAGCGTGAACTACCGTATGGTTTGAAAGGACGTTCCAAACGAGGCGAGAAGACAAACCCAAGACACAAAAATTACAAGTAGCAGCAATGTTACAGCAATATTAATACTATACATTTACCAGTCACCCGAGTTGAAAGGTGGAACCCCCTTCAACAAAAGAGCCACAAAGGAAGCTTTGAAGAAAAAGCCACAGCCTGTCATGGGTATTAAGAAAGGCACCGCAGGGAAAAAGCCGTTTTAGTTAAGAGCTGATCACATCTCTGGGCTAGGTCTGTGAATAAGAACTCGGTCGACTTCGGTGGTCCCCCACTCACATCTCAACCTAAGGTTTATGGGGCCTTCAGCTCCCCCCAACCTGCTCCAGCAGCACTCAAGGACAGTAAAGTGCAAAGCATGATAATGCAGATACTTAGAACCTCCCGTTTGTCCAACGCCCTCCTCTTCTCCCTTCAGGTAGTCCTGCTGTTTTCAGAGAAGAACCACCTTTGGGTGTTTGAAGGGGTAGACCCATGTCCTTACAAGGTGATAAGGCAAAAAAGACTCAAGTGTCTGTCCTGGAAGGATGAAGAGTGTGAAAGTCCACATTTGATGACATACATTCCTCTGTGCGTGTGTGTGTGTGCTTTCATGTGGTGGATTGGCTCAGACAGCTATTTCTACACACAGTTTGGCCAGGAGAGGCCCCCGCAGGCAGCCGACACAATGATGTAAATGATGACCTGTGGGGGGGAGAAAGCATTTAGCAACTTCCCGTCCCTCCACACATCGCTGCAACTAGCACTGCACTGCAACTATAGACTAGCTGCTTGAGCGTGCAACGGCACTGCAGCAAAAGCCACCTCGGTATTTTTCTCGTTCAAACGGATGTCCTTCCATAAGGGAATACATCCCCTTGCGGCCCATTAATTCTTGCAGACCAGCAAGCACAAGGATAAAAGGACATGCAGTAATTTCCTTTTATAAGCCAGGGGAGTTTCCTCCCTATTGTATCGGAGAACAACTTACAATTGATACGATGACAATTATGATGGTGAGCTTGAGGTTCTTCATGCACATTGCTCGGGCCAGGTTCCTACTGGTCGTTTTGAAAGTGACAGACTGGAGGGGAAAAGCACAGGAGAGGATTTAACACGGACTCTACTCAACGTTTCATCCAAAAAAAAGGGGTTATATGCAACTGTTGTTTTAATTCATACTTTCAATGTATGTTCTGGAATGCCTTTTCATATTTTTTTTTAAACTTCTTGGTAAGTCTCCTATCCAAATACTGTTTGACCTTCGCTTCAAGACCACAGCAGAAGTAACCACATTGCCCTCTGCTGGAAGTTCTTGACTAGGCTTTGGTGACATCCAGAACACAAGTAGTCCTCACTTAATGAATCTACTGGGGACAGACAACTGTCACCAACCCACATGGTCGTTATGCAAAACGTCACGGGACTGCTTAACAACAGCAGTCCTGGCAATCCCATTTACTGTCATTGAGGAAGTCCTACACAGTTCCTAGGTCGCAACCTGGATCCAAGATAAAGGACTGGCCCCACTTCAAGCCCTCTGCCCCATCTCTCTCCTTTTGGCTACCCCACCCTGCCTGCCACCAGACCGGGTGCCATGGGGTATGAGGGGCAGTTGTAAATGCAGACAGACCCACATTTTGTTCATGTGACTGCAGGGAACTGCAACAGCTAGGACTTCAGGGACTGCAAGTTCATTCAGCAGTCATAACTTCAAACAGTGGCTGAATGAATGGAGGCTAAGTGAGGAACACCCCTATTCCCAACTGCTGATTTTTAGGCAACGTTATTCCCAAGAACAGCTGCCTTTGCCTATGTCGGACTGCTTGATTTCTCTCTGCATGGTCAAAAGATTCTGCCGACTACCACATGTTAATTTTGCTCTATAAAGGGAAATATTTGGCATGGTAAATAGAACTCCAGTGAAGAAACATCTGACTTTACCGTCCCAAATACCAAGATTAGAAGATAACTTTCTGAAAACATCCGATCTATGTTCTAGAACGTAGCTAGTTCAAGAAAAAAAAACGTGTCCTGTATACATTTTCATTCCCTCCCTCAAACAACCCTGCAGGCCTTCCCCTTAGGCCAGAGCCGATCCTAAAGAATTCACCCCACTACCTCCAGAACTTACTGAATCCACAAGATTTTCCGTTTTGTCTATCAGCAGTTCCAGCTTTTCTCCTCTTTGAGCCACGAGATCTTGGATGAAAGAGAGAGAGAGCAATTATAAGAATGCCAAGGGAAAAGCAAGTTTCCAACGCTCCATTTTCTTAAACCACCAAAACTGAATTAACAGGACTGCACTGTGTTCGGTTTCTGGCCCAGGTACTTGATTTAATTACATCTGGAGCAAGTTCTTTAATCAAGAGCTTGGAGTCTTGAGGCACCCCTTAGAAGCTAATAGGAGAGCCAGCTAATTGGGAAGCTAACGTAACCGTGCAGTTCAAGCAAGAACAGATGTAAGGCAAATTACTTATTTTGTTCCGCCCAATCTTTTTGCTAAATACATTGAAATGCAGGCCACACACGTCCTTTCCCACGAAGCATCAGCCCTCGCCAAATACATCTTTAGTGGTATATAGGGGTCTAAGTAGACCAGTGGTTCTCAACCTTTTTAAGGCCGCGACCCCAACCGGTCGTAAGTCAAGGACTAAGCCAGTCGTAAGTCGAGGACTAAACTGGTCGTAAGTCGAGGACTAAACCGGTCGTACGTCGAGGACTACCCAACCGGTCGTAAGTCGAGGACTTTCCCTGCCCGGGAGCGCCGCGCATGCGTGGTTCCGCCCCCTGCGCCGGCTGAGGCGTAGCTGGCAAGCGGCAGAGACGGAGCAGGCCGACCACCAGCTGGCCCAGCCCAAGGGAAGTAAGGCACCCGCCGGAAAAGGGGGAAAAAATGGCGGACAAAAAAAAATGGCAGACAGCCTTGCTTGGCGACCCCCGTGAAATGGTCGATCGACCCCAAATGGGGTCCCGACCCACAGGTTGAGAACCATTGAAGTAGACCTTTGTCATCCATACCTATATTGCGGACCATGATCCCTTTGAGCTCATCTACCTGAGCCTGTGTCTCTACCACCTGGTCAGGACCTTTGTTCTCAGAGTGATATTTCTAAATGAAAGAAGAACAGCGGAAATTGGAGCCACGTTTTAAGAAAGCTAAATTAAAGAATATGTCAAGACCCGAACTGGGACAGCGGCTAGATGAGCTAAGTTAAGTTTAATCGCCTGGAAAGATAGCATTAAAAAAAGGCGGGATAGAAGTCCTCAACAGCTACAAAGCTATCTTTTTTTTATTTTTTTATTTTTATTAAAAGTTTTATAAAGATTACAGTATAAACCCCCATACCCACCCCAAAACCCCACCCTCCCCCTCCCCCACTTCCCAGAGCTGAACACAGGGTTACAAATATAATAATCAAACTCTATCTAACATTAACCAACTATTAAAATAACCAAGTCCATAATACGCTTTAACTCCCCTTTCACACAAATTTAAACAAATTAAAGTTAAACACAATAATAAACATATTCATAACCTAAATATGAAACAATACAATACCAATATTAAAAATAATAATATCATCTAATTAAAACTAACAAAAATTCCATTAAAATAAACTATTAATAATAACAATACTCTAGAGTTTACTCATAACCCAAATGAAACTTTTAGTCCCATATTTATTTCTGAATATAATCTATCCATCTTCTCCAGACCGAGATGTATCTTTCTTGTGATTGATCCTTCAAATAAGCGGAAATTTTAGCCATTTCTGCTAAATTTGACACTTTAAGCGTCCATTCTTCTATAGTGGGCAAAGAGTCCTTCTTCCAAAATTGGGCTACCAATAATCTTGCAGCTGTTATAAGATTCAGCATCAAATTCATTTCTTTAACATCCAAATCTTCCATAATGCCTAACAAAAATAACTACGGTGTAAACTTTATCTTTTTCTTAAAAATATTTTGAATATTCCACCAAATCTTAATCCAAAATGCTTTTATATCCCTACGCGTCCACCAAATATGAAAATAAGTTGCGTCTAAACTTCCACATCTCCAACATTTGGGCTGTAAATTAGGATACATACAGGACAGTTTTTGAGGATCCAAATGCCACCTATAAAACATCTTATCAAAATTTTCTCTTAAATTTTGAGCTTGAGTAAATTTTACATTTCTAACCCAAATTGTCTCCCATATTTCCAATGAAATTGATTCTTGAATATTTTGAGCCCGTTTTACCATACGATACAGCTACAAAGCTATCTTGTAGGATATTGAGCAGAGTTGGAGAGGACTGGATTCCGGTTAAACATTAAATTACCTAAACGGCAACACCCGTTCTGCAGTGGAACAGCCATACCCCAGGAAATGGTGAGCTCGTCTTCGCTTAAAAGTATTTAAGCAAACTAAAAAGATTCCTTTCGTTTACGGTTTGTGACACAACCAGCCACGGACTTTTCAAGGAAAGATACAAGGATCCCATTTAAGTGAGCATACCCGTTTTTCTACGAGCAATTTTTTAAAAAAGGGGCAATGGTAATCCAACCTCAAAAACAACCCTTCGGAGCTCCAAGAAAGCGGAGCCTCCGGTTTTCATTCATTCAACCTAGTCATCCTTAGATGGGTCTACACTCAATTCCAGAAGAGGCATGTGTCATTCCCGCTTCCCGAAAAGGAAGGATCTTCGGAACGACGGCGCAGAATCTCACCAGCTGGGCTGCCAAAACACTGGAAAACTCGCTGTTCATGGCGTACGGCAGGGCGGTCTGTGCTCGGGAACCGTAGGTGGTCTGAAACCGCTTCTTGATTTCATTCAGGAATGTGAAAGCGCGGGAGCGCTCGAAGTTCTGAAGGCAGAACAAAACAGACGAGTGTGAATGAAACAGGACCGCCTGGGATGCTGTTTCCGGCGGAAAGCTAGAGCGGGTAGAGAATGACTAGAAAAGGCACACATGGATCTAAGCGTGTATCAGGGACAGATAATGAAGTCATTACTGTCAGAACAGCCATATTTCGCCTGTCCTTTGCACTTACTAGCTGCCAGTCTGCCATGAACTATGGGAGGAGGGAGCCGGATGGGAGGGGGGGGGAGACTAAATGATTCATCGGACCTTCTAGTGACACAACTTCAAGGTCACCCAGCTGGGAATGGCATGCAGATCCCCACCGCCCAATCTACCGTTGAAGAGACCGCTCCCAAAACAATTTATTTGAATATGATTCAACAATGGGGGGGGGGGGGGAAGAACCAGTAATGGGAAGGGAGAAAGGGGGGAAAAGTTAACCGGGAAAGTTTTGGCGTGTGAACCTCAACTCTGGCTTTGCTGTATTGTAATCCAGAGGTCCCCAACCTTTTGGGCACCAGGGACCGGTTCCGTGGAGAGAGGTTTTTCCGCGGACCGGAAGGGTGTGGTTTTGTGTGCTGCCTGCATCTTGCAGATGGGGCCTTGTTTGTTTGTGTGGACTGGTTGCTGGCATGCCACAGCCCGGTACCGGTCCACAAACGGGGGGGTTGGAGACCCCTGCTGTAATCCACTTCGTCTTTAGTAAAGTAAACCTTTCACACCAAATGGAGTTAAGGGTCGTTCTTGCTTAAGGGACCAAGACTGATAATTATTTTGGTAATAGCAAAGCCACCTTCAGTCCACCATTGCTTCTTGGCAGGATATATGTTTATCACAGTGGAAGGATACAAGAGCCAATCTTTTCAGCCCAGCCATCTCCCAAGGGTACACCAGTGCATATGCCCCTCTCCCGCAACCACCTCTAGAGAGTGCAAATTTCGCCAAGGGCCCCATCACAGCTGTCTCCCATGTACTTACGTCATCTGTGATGCAGAGGTATATAATCCGATCCTGACAGATATAGTGGAACAGATAACTGAGGGGAAAACAAGACACCGAGTATGTTTTCTGAGCAGTTGGTATAATAAACCCACTCCAAGATTATTTGCACATCAGCTGAAATGGGCACACTTGAACCCTTTCCTTTCCTGCTCCCTTCCCCAGCCCAGCAGCAAAATGGCTTTTTTTTTCATTTCGTCCCATTATTGGCTTCCAACATTTTTTTCCCCCTTTCCTCCCCAGAAAATACTCACTTTCCGTGGGAGTAGGTGAGCTTGTTGTTTTCGGAAGGTATCTTGGCCAGGATCTGCTCTGTAACTTCCAGGAAGTTTCCTCCACACCACGCGTGCTTGGCCAGGATGGTGGAGCCCCTGGCTACAACAGCAAACAGGATCGCCATAGCTGGAGGCTGGCTGCAGGGGCAAGAGACACAGAATGAAGAGGCTTCTCCACGGATCAAAGCACAGCCGGCGCAGCATCACACAGTATGGGCCCCTATCATGTATACAGCTGGAAAAGACCAAAACCAATCCCAGGCAGAAATTCCACGAGAAGACAGTTCCCCCCTTTTCAAATTCCATGGAAAAGCGCAGCCCTGTTCAACCAGAACCAACAGGCTCATTTTAAATGCGCTTGTGTCTTATCGGTGACTTGCAAACTCCTGTCATCTAAAACGTGCACGCCCAAAATATGCAGGTAGTCCTTGACTTACAACCATTTGTTTAGTGACCGTCAAAGTTAAAACAGCATGGGAAAAAGTGACTTATGACCGTTTTTTATCCTTTCAACCGTTGTAGCGTCTCCACGGTTAGACCCTCAAAATTAGGAAGCTCGGCCACGTCCCGGGGTCAGGTTATCACCTTTGGCAAGTTCTGACAAGCAAAGTCCATGGGGAAGCCAGGTTTAATTAACAACTGCACGGATTCACTCAACCGTGGCAAGAAATGTCATAAAACGGAGCAAAGCTCATTTAACAACTGTGTCACTTAGCAGCAGAAATTTTGAGCTCCATTGTGGAGGTAAACCGAGGACTACCTATGCACACAGACAAATTAACAGGTCTTACAGGATACACTCCATTGCTGGAATGAGTAGAGAGGAGAGGAGAGGAAGCAGATAATTAAACTGGCAGCTGCTTCCACTGAAGTGCAGGGATCAAAGTATTGGTCAATGTCCTAGCAGGTGCATTCCACTCTGCCTGCTTTGGTTATGTGCCAGGTCAGTGATGGCGAGAGTGACTCTGACTGTCCATAATTCCTTCAAGTAATCTAAGAGCAGTAGTCACATTGCTTTAAAAGACAATTTTAGCCATGGGCCATTGCATGAGATTTACACAGATGCAAGATGCAAGATGATCTAGTCAGCGTTCACTGAGTCAATACAGAATATTGTTCATGTTAATGGGAGGAATTCCCCTTTAAAACTGACTGCCATGTCCCTCAAGTATTGGCTCTTCAACTTTATGGCTGTGATGACTACAGAAGCTACGCACACACATCGTGAGATCTGGATAACATAATCTAGTAACCACAGCTATCTTTATCCTTATAGGGCCAGCAGAATGTTAGGGCCTTGGGCCTGTTTTCCTGGACAGATGAATGTAAGAAATAATCAACAAAGCCATAAGGCAGATGCTCAGCCTGGGAATATTAATATGTACAGAACCCCCTTGTAGGGATTTGGTGATATCTCCCATCATTGTTTAAATCTTAGGACTAAAAATGTGAAGTTATATTACCCTGGAAAATGGCTCTCCCACGGTCTGTTTGCAACCTATCACACCATGAAATGAATGCAGAGTTTCTAAGGGCTTATCAGATCTAAAATCATGCAAAAACATTTTTTTTTTAAATCTCTCAATTCCACAGAGTAATTCAATACAGGTATATCCATGCATGCGAAAGAATATTACTGCAGTTAAGTCACAAAAGGTAGATTTCCAGATCTTTGAAACTTTGGTTGACCAGAGATTTTTTTTACCATCACTCAAACGTAATTAATGAATATGCTATAATTAATTTGAACTCACGAATGGGCAAATCTTATTCTGGTACAGAGTTAGACATTACAACAGATGATTTGGGGGTGGGGGGGGCAGTGAAAGAGTACACTGCACCACTAATCTTTACTTGGCTTCCGCCGTTCCTGCTTCTACAGAAATGCTATCAGTTTCCCTTTCCCTTTCCAGTTCCTTCCTAAAAGATAACGATTTTACCAAACGGTCAGGAACCACAAGATCAGTTCTTACACATATTGTCCAAACGCCTTGTCCGTTCAGGCCTTCCAGTTCAATAGACCAGAGTCCTGTTTGCTCAGCAATATTTCACCTATTTGAAATGGTTGCCCTCACCCTGTGAATATTTAGCAAAGCTGTGTTCCATGTATGTTCTACTTTTTTTTGGGTATAAATTTCTGGAAGGAAGTTAGAAGGCCATCAGTGTTAGTCCTAGATCCCCGTTGTGCAAGGTGACTAAGCAAAAAAATGTTTTTCCTGACTTACTTCCACCAAACTTTTTGATACCTTCCTGATATTGCTAGTTTTATTCACTTTCACTTTATACCCAACTTAAAGCACTGACTTCTTTCCAGATTGTGTTCTTTTATCTAGACACTATTCACTCTGTTCTTATCTAGACACTATTCACTCACAATTCAGCCCTGACATTTTGTATCAAAGAAGCAATGTTATTTGTTTCTGGAATGTTGCAAACTCTCCAAAAAAAAAAAAAAACAACAACTTTCCCTGCAATCTCTATGTCCCCCAAAATACAGGGAGGACCATGACCTCACTACTATTTGCAATCCATATCCTTCCCTCTTATCTCAGCTAAAAAAGCTGCAAGAAATAGTAAACTCTGTTCTTCTTCCCTTAAGGGTGCGTTTTGGATGCTAAAAAAAAACCCATGGCACCTTTTCTATAAAGCTTTCAGTATCACCACTTAAAACCACATAAATAGGTCCAGGCAGCCTGAAGAAATAACCTTTCTTTCCTCCCCCAGGTCAGATTTGACTACAAGACCTTCTGCACAGAGACCAACTTTCTCAGATTCTGCAAAATGCTACAACTGACCTTCTGCCCAAAAAACCAAACCTGTAAGTCATTGTGAACATTGTTAAGTAACCGTTTACATCAACTTTCTTTGATCTGCCACACTTCCGTTGTAGTTACTTTTTGATTAAAAGAGGAAGACTTGATGCATAGATTTATTAATTTAAACTTGTATGCCACAACTTTAGAAGAAAGTGAAAAAGGCAAATTAAATACGGTAAAAGAAGAATTAAAGATGGTAATGACGGTGGACTGGATGAAAAGAGAGGGAAGGGGACTCTTTCCCCAAAGGCCTGAGTGAAGAGCCAGGATTGCCCACTGCCACCTTCTGGGACCCTATTTATTATTATTGCAATCATTTTATTCAATTTGCCAGTAAGTAAATCCACCATGACTTACCAATCTGGCTTACAGTGGTGGGATAGCTTAATGGCCCTCTCATCCCTTCCTAACCAGAATGGATGTTGAATAACAAGGATCAAAACACCCTTGGGAGACAGAGCTGGGCCTGGGAAGTGAAGAGAGCCAGACTCTAACACAGCCCTGAGAGCTAGTGTGGTGGAGTGGTTCAGATAACTGGCTGAGAAACCAGAAGAAACTCTTAGGAATAAAAGCCAACTGGGGCGATTAGATGCCCGTTACTCTGCCTTAGCCCACCACACAAGGTTGTTGTTGGGAGAAAACGGGAGGCAGGAGTTGTAGGCATGCTGGATAACTTGAGTGATGAGATAGATATGATAAATGATATAAGATGATAAATGATAGAGATAATAAATGATATAATAAATGATATAAGATGGTAAATGATAGAGATAATAAATGATATGATAGATAAGTAGGTACGTAGGTAGGTAGATAGATAGGTGGATAGATGATAGATAGATGGTGGATGGATGATAGATGGAGGATGATAGGATGATAGATAGATAGATAAGTAGGTGATAAGATGATAGATAAGTAGGTAGGTAGATAGATAGGTGGATAGATGATAGATAGATGGTTGATGGATGATAGATGGAGGATGATAGGATGATAGATAGATAGATAAGTAGGTGATAAGATGATAGATAAGTAGGTAGGTAGATAGATAGATAGGTGGATAGATGATAGATAGATAGATAGATAGATAGATAGATAGATAGATAGATAGATGGTGGATGGATGATAGATGGATAGATAGATAGATAGATAGATAGATAGATAGATAGATAGATAGATAGATAGATAGATAGATAGATAGATAGATAGATAGATAGATAGATAGGTGGATGGGTGGATGGATGGATGGATGGATGGATGGATGGAATAGATGGATGGAGGCAGGATATAGACAGATGATAAATGACAGCTAGCTAGCTATCAAAAGATGATAAAATGACAGACAGATGACATGAATATCCAGAGATGGATATACATTTTTGGATACAGATCCGGATACAGATCTGTCTAGATACGGCTATATCTACATTTTTATCCCGCTTTACCTCCATATCCACAGAGATACAGCGGGATAGAAACGCAACCAGAGCAGCCCAGCCCACTTCCCACGATTGTCGTCGGAAGAGAAAGGGGCACCGTGCCTGTTCACCGCCTGGAGCGACCGCTTTCAACAGCAAAGACGGGGATTGAAGTCAAATAAATCAAGAAACGATCAAAAAAAAAAACAAACCACCCCAGCTCAGCCATCAATCAGCGCCTGGGGCGAACCCCGCCTGCGCGCCATGCAAGGCCGGAGCCCGGGCCGGAAGGACGAAGCCGGAGGAAGCCCCGGCGGGGAAGGGGGGATCCGGGTTCAAGACCCTCCATGGCGGGGGGAGGGGAAACGTCCTACTTCGCAGGAAGGTTGTTAGGGATCCCCCGACGGATTTTTTTTGGGGGGGGGGCAAAGTATGCTCAGGGGAGGGGTGGCATGGCGACAGCGTTGCCATGGCGACAAGGCGTTGACCTGCCCCCTCCCCTCCCTGCACGTCCCGAGCGTTGCTGCCTCGTCCAGGGGCGGCAGGCGAGGCTGAAATCGGCCTAGCGGAGCGGACCCGCCGCCGGTTCGACTCTCGGCGGGCGCAGACGCGGAAGGCAGCCCCCGCTTCTCCCCCCCCCCCCGGCCTCTACCTTGCTGGGCGCCTGCCGGGAGCCCCGTTTCGCTCCCCCCCCCCGTTCTCCGCCGCGTCTTTCGCCGAAGACACCAAGGCCACGTGAGCTTCCGCCGCAGGCCGCCGAGGCTTCTGGGAAAGCGAGTCCGGCCGCAAGAGGCCGGCGCAAGGCGGGAAGCCGCGCCGCGTTGCTGCCGGGGAGGGGGGGAGAGGCGGAAGTACTGCGGCTCCCGGCCTCCCTTGCGCCCCTGCGCATGCGGGAGAGATGGGGGACGAGGAGGAGAAGCAGCAGCCGCGCGTGCTGCAGATGGTGAGGCCGGGCGCGGGGAGGCAGAAATGCAGTAGGTGAAGCTTAAAGCAAATGAGCAACCACCACCCCTTAATCATAATCAGCACTGGAAACTGCTGCAGGGTATATATACGTATGTGTGTGTGTGTATATATGTGTGTGTCTGTATATATATATATGTGTATGTATATGTGTGTGTGTATATATATATATGTATGTATCCAAATTTCTTTTTCTGACAAAGAGTTAAAGAATTAAATTCTTAAATTAACTCTTTGTCAGAAAAAAAAATTGGATTTAAAATGTTTCGCAGTTGCGACTTGAGCCTGCTTAACGCCCCTAGTTGGGGTGCTGCAAGGCAAAAGATATTGTAAAAAGTAAAACTGCAGAGCAGTTAAAATGTCAAGGTGTAATATGTATGTATGTATGTGTCTATATATGTGTGTGTATGTGTATGTATGTATATGTGTATATCTAAAATTATTTTAAAAATGCAGGTCCCGGGTATATTCATGATAAAAAACTACTAAAAACGTGATCACTGAGACTAAAAACTTTATTAAACGTTTAGCTTTCGTCAGCAAATGCTGATGTCAAAGTATAAACCAGGATCTAGGAATACTCGTCTTTATAGTCTTTTGAGAAGCCAACAATTTGGACAATGAGCGTGTCATAGGTCCGTCTGTGTGTGTGTGTGTGTGTATGTATGTATATATATGTATATATATGTATCTGTATGTATATATGTATGGTATATATATTTTCTATCAGACGGTGCTCCTGGGTCTTTTGAGGGCTAGTGTAGCAGGCGGAAATCCATCAGGTGAAGCCTTTACCTCGGTTTTTTAGTTATTCAGAAGCCATCCTCATCCCAATTAGCAATTGCCAGTGCTAAGCAAGGTGGTTGTTAAGGGGGTGCCGCATTTTATGACCGTTTTGCCACTGTTGTTAAGCGAATCACTGCAGTTGTTAATGAATCTGGTTTCTCCCATTGACTTGGCTGGTCAGGAGCTGGATGGGAAGGTGGCAAAAAGTGATCAAATGACCCCAGGACAGTGCAACTGTCATAAATACATCCCAGTTGCCGAATACCCAAAGTCAGATCACACGACCCTGGGGGTGCTCCGACAGTTGCCACTGAAAAACGGTCAGGAGTCCCTTTTTTTCAGTGCTGTTGTAACTTCAAACAGTCACTGAACAAATCATTGTAAATTGAGGACTACCTGTGTAATAGCTGGGGAATGGATGGATAGATGGATAGATAGAGAGAATAAGTAGAAGAACGGAATGGTGTTCCACCATTTAACACGGGTATACTGCTCTTAAGACATTTTTGCCCAAAGAAACCCCACCTTTTCCTTTCAGCCTCTGATTTTATTTCTTTTCCTCTGTCTGTAGGTACGAGCTGAGGGGTCGGATAAGACCTGTGTCACATTTGTGCTCAACAATGAGGACCACACCCTCGGCAATTCTTTGAGATACATGATTATGAAAAAGTAAGTAAAGGGTTCCGTTGCAGGGGGGATTCCAACTTTTCTTAGCAGGACAAAAAACTTCAAAGCATGCAGGGCCACTCCTATAACACCTCTTTACAACTCCTTAAAATAGCTGGGTCTCTTTTCCTGGAATTCTGCAAAACTAAGTGAAATCACACGTGATAATCACATTTTGTTGAAGGAGCTGTGGCCAAGCACTCTTGGACAAACCTTTAAAGCACATTTTAGCCTCATGATTCAAAGCATTGCTACCACCCTATCTCAAAAGCTCCTTATTGCCATTTGGGGACACCCGAAACAGTTGATGCTTAGCAGGAAACTGTTGTTTGCTTAACTGTGATTTGTTAAAAAGGCAGGTGGGTTTCTACTGTGCATCAAATCACACAATAGCTTTGTATAGCTGTGCTTTTATATGAATCCGAACCTCTTAAAATAGTACTTGGACAAAGTAGAGGATTGTTGACTGGCTCCAATAACTTAGCTTCAACGCTGATATGAGGTTGGAGATGGCTATTCGCCATCTCCACTTCTGAAGAAGAAACTGACATTGGCCAAAACAGCTTTAGTCAATTTTACCACCCCAGCTTAAGTGTTGGTTTTGTGAATACAATTTTGCAATGGATTGATATTTTCTTTGGTCCCTCCAGGCATCACGCAAAAATCACTGTCCCAAGAAAATGGGTTAGGCCCTCGGAATGGGAGTACGTTCCCTTGTCCATTAGACAGCATACATCTGTTTGAGTACTAAATGTAGAGTTTAACCTTCCCTGATGTATGATTTTTCAGAGCATCAGATACACAAGAGAACATTTATTTGATTTTTCCTCTCTGCCTCTGTTATAATCTTTGTTCCCTTGCAGCCCTGAAATTGAGTTTTGTGGTTATAGCATCACTCATCCCTCGGAAAGCAAAATCAACTTCCGCATCCAGACCAGAGGTGAGAGCACCGCGTCCTGGAGATCTGACAGAATTGGCCGGCCAGCTTTTTCCTTTCATGAGAAACCTCGTGCCAGCTTCCTCTGCTCCTGAGTTCCATTGCCCTAGGGAAGCTTGTCTTTCCAGAACGATAAACCGCAGCATGAGGGTTGTGTCTATAAAAGCCTCGTGCAGAAAGTGTAGCTTCTGTTAAAGCGAATTTTTCTTTGGCCTCCTGATGGCCTTATGTCAAGCATTTCAGCTTTAATAATAATAATAATGATGATAAAGTTGGAAGGGACCTTGGAGGTCATCTAGTCCAACCCCCTGCTCAGGCAGGAAATCCTATACCATTTCGGACAAATGGCTGTCCAGTTTCTTCTTAAAAACTTCCAGTGCTGGCGCGTTCACCGCTTCTGGAGGCAGGCTGTTCCACTGGTTAATTGTTCTGTCAGGAAGTTTCTCCTTAGTTCTAGGTTGCTTCTCTCTTTGGTTAGTTTCCATCCGTTGCTTCTCGTCCTGCCTTCAGGCACCTTGGAAAATAGCTTGACTCCCTCTTCTTTGGGGCAGCCCCTGAGATACTGGAACACTGCTATCATGTCCCCCCTCGTCCTTCTCTTCATTAAACTAGACATACCCAATTCCAGCAGCCTTTCCTTATATGCTTTAGCCTCCAGTCCCCTAATCATCTTTGTTGCTCTTCTCTGTACTCTTTCATTCTTTCGTTTTTCATTTCTACAGAGATGAGGTTTAAAGACCAAGCAGTTCTCTTTAAGTCTTGCAGAAATTTAAGACATTCTTCCCTCCTTAAAATGAAATATACTTTGAATGGCCCCATCACAAATTGGATTCCTTCCTCACCCAGTGTAGCCTTTGACATCTCGTTTGGACCCTGGTATGACTCCTGAACCATGAGAATTTTTGCATCTTGTCTTAGAATGTAAGATATTGGCTAAGAGACCGAGGAACTGAAAGTTCCCAGGTAAATCCTGCTTCTGGTATGAATTTGAACAATCCTCCCCAACTCTTGAGATCCTTTCCCTCCGGTTTAAGGGAGGCTGACGCTAAGCACAGAGTTTGCTCTGGATGGTAAGTGAAATAGTATATGTGAAATGGATCGATCTACAGATGCTACACAGACCTTTGGATAAGTTGGCTGTTTGCCTTCCATTACCAAGAATTGCTTGCATGCAAGGATATGTGCAGAATATATAGGCAGCAGAAACTGCGGGGGAGGTCGAAAAAGTCAGGTCAAAGTCAATCAAAGCCCCACCCCTTGCATGACGTAAGTCCGAAGGGGCGGGCCTTTGTTTGCGTTGGCTGCCATCTTGACTTAAAACAGGCAAGGAAATCAGCTGGTGGGAGATGCAGGGGGCTTAGCTCCTTTTCTGGTCTTCCATGCTCATGGCAGAAGGGGAGTTTAAAAAAAATGCAGCCTAATAATTACTGTTCCCATTACTAATTTACAAGGGAAATACATGAATTGAAGGAGAAGTTATTTTTATCCTACTGGGGCCCTGGGGGATTTGTATGGATTCTAGTGTTTCATGTTGCTATTTCATGATTTTGACAATCTCACTGATGTGATCTAGAGGCTGGTGATGTGAGCAGTGTAAAAATAATGTGACAAGAAATAAAATTGATCTCTTCTCTGATCCCCCAGGGGGTCTACCTGCTATAGATGCCTTCCAGAAGGGACTAGAAGACCTCATGGGCGTCTGTCAGCATGTGCTTAGCACATTCGAGGTAGGTCTGAGCGATTTGCCCAACTGAGAAGTATATATTACATGTTAGAGGAAAAAAATGTAGAAGGCTGCAGGGGACACTCAGACCGACAGTTCTGAGATTTCTGAATGGGGCAGGGAGTAAGAAATCTGATACAGAACATCTTGAAAACCCCAAACTTTCATTGGACAGTAATAATTGCCAAAGTGAGCAAGATGGTGCACTGTGATATAAAAAAACCTGGGCAGAAATAGCACTTAGAGTTGTATAGAATAGAATAGAACAAGGAATAGAATAGAGTAGAATAGAATAGAATAGAGTTGGAAGGGACCTTGGAGGTCTTCTAGTCCAGCCACCCACTTAAGCAGGAGAACCTACAGTGTCTCAGACAGGTGAATGTCTAGTCTCTTCTCCAGTGATGGAGTCTCATCTCCAGTGATGGAGCACCCACAATTTCTGGAGGCAAGCTGTTCCACTGGTTAATTGTCCTCAGTCAGGAAGTTTCTCCTTAATTCCAGGTTGCTTCTCTCTTTGATCAGTTTCCAACCATTGTTTCTCGTCCTTCCCTCTGGTGCTTTGGTGAATAACGTGACCCCCTCTTCCTTGTGGCAGCCCCTCAGATACTGGAGCGCTGCTACCATGTCCCCCCAGTCCTTTTTTCTCTAGACTGGCCATACCCAGTTCCATTCTCCTGCCAGATGGCCCTGTGAAGAGCCTTGGTTCCATTCTAAGGAGACTGGAATCAGGGTCACATGAAGCATGAGAAAGGCAGGAAATAATTTTTATAAATAAGTAAAAAAAAATAGATGAGATCTTAACAAAGCCATTATTAGTGACCACTTTCAGGCTCGGATGGTGTAGCAACAGACGTCCGTTAATCAAGGGACTGAACTAACTGACTTTTGCTGAAGTGCTTATCTCTGATTCTGTCACCTAAAAAGTTCAGAAACTTTGTTTTCTATTGCAGGCAAGTGTAGAAGAATACAAGAACGATGTGAGAATGCAATAGTATGTCGACACCTGCATAATGGATAAACCTCTGCGTAGAGCAACGGGTTTGGGGACTATGACTTATTAAAAGACATTTGTTTTTGTTTTGTTTTGTTTTTTTTTTAAAAAAACTCTCTTTTTTTAAGGCCTGCGTGACGGAATCTTCATTCTCCCTTTAGTGGTTTAATGCCTTTTCGTCAGGGAGTGGCGAGAATTCTACGTTAATACTGCAGGATTTTTATCAACGGTGGTTAACTCTTCAAGATGTCAGGTTTGTGATTGGCCCAAAGTGTATCTTTTCACCTGACCAGCTGAATCTGAAATCTCTTTTTAAAGCTATCACAATAGCTGCGTATGATGTTCTCCTCAGAACCACTGGAGGCCTGAGGTGCCCATATAAATAAAAAAAAAAGGTATCTGAAGGACATCCAGCTGGGGAAGACTTCCTGTGGACTAGCTTCTGGCAGTGGGGATATCTAAGATCATGGGGATGGTCGTTCCACTGCTGCACTGAAATATGTTCTCTGTTTTGATTGCCATAATACAAGAAGAATGTTGAGGAGAGTGTTTAGAGAAGAACAAAAAAAGGTAACGAGGGACAATCCTACAAAGAAAGGTTCAGAGAAATAAGTACAGGTAGTCCACGACTTACGGCCACAATTGAGCCCAACATTTCTGCTGCTAAGTGAGACATTTGTTAAATGAGTTTTTCTTTGAAGACGTTTCGCTTTTCATCCAAGAAGCTTCTTCAACTCTGAAATCTGGGTGCTCCAGCACTGGAGGTTTTTAAGAAGAGACTAGACAGTCACTTATCTGGAATGTGTAGGTTCTCCTGCTTGAGCAGGGAGCTGGAGTAGAAGACTTCAAAGGCCCCTTCCTTTTCTACTCTACTCTACTCTACTCTAAAAACAAGAAAGTCCAGTTGCCTCTTGAAAAAGCACTTTTGAGACAACCATGACCTGGATGACTGAGACTCTCCATAAATATTTGCCTAAATCTTTACCTTAATTCCTTGCCTCAGTCTTTCATTTGTGAGCGTTTTTGGTTTGCATTGAATAAATAATACAAGGTTTTCCATGCCAAAGTGTACAACTGAACAAAAAGCAAGGCAGTTCTCTCTCAAAGGTTCAGATGCTGTTGCTAATTGTGTTCTTTCCAGGCTGTTGATAGCTAAGCTGCTTCTAATCTATTGATTGTGTCATTTCAGCTACAATTGTAGACCTGAGATCTGTTAAGAACAAATGCTGCCATCACTAATACCTGCAACCTTTTAAACCAGCATTTTATTCAGAAAAAAGAAATGACCGTTATTTTAGTCCACATTAAACACACATTATGGTTTGCATAGACAGTCAGAAAATCCTAAATCATAATATTATATCGAGATTATTACAAACTCTTTAGAGGCTACTTGAGTTAGAAGAAGAAGAGAGCACGGTTGCTATTGTTTGGATCAACTGGAATTTAGGAATGTTTTGATTCAAAATTAAATCTCTCTTGGCTTGCCAAACAGATGGCCTCTGTGCTAGGTGGGAATTTCAGATGTTGAAATCTGGAAGGTTGTGGAAAGCTACTCTAGTAGAGGCCTAAAGCTAATTTAACACTACAGGTAGTGCTCAACGTATGACAACTTAACTGTTTAAAGTTTTGATAGTGTCAGAAAAAGCGACTTGCAACCCATCTTCAAAATTACGAGTGTCGCGGTCACCTGATCACAATTTAGGCACTTGGCCACTGGCTCACATTCATAATGGCTGCAGTGTTTTGCAGTCCCGTGATCACGAAATTCTGCCCTTGCCAGCTGGCTTCTGACAAAATCAGTTGGGGAACCTGGATTTGCTTAATGACTGTGATTCCCTTAATGATGATATGATTCACTTTTAACAACCACAGTAAATTGGTGGTTATATTGGTCCAGCCACGTGACTGACTTCTCCAACCACATTGCTTAGTGCAAAAGTCTGGTCCCAACCGTTGTAAATTGAGGACTTATCTCTATGAGGTTTAGCCTGAAGGAAAGAAAATAAACTTGATGGGAGCTATTCCCAGTAAATGGATCTGGGATTATCATTTCAGTTTTTTATCAGTAAAATATTTAATTCACTTCCTGACATGAGGAACATAACGAGAGCAAAGCTGCCTGTATAAAAAGGGTAGGGGTGAGGGATAAAGATAGAAATATTAGCAAGATCCAAAACGGAAGCAACCTGCATGCATTCCTGAGGAACTCATCTTTCAGGATTTGCTTTTGTATCCTAAGCAAAGAAATCTTTCTAAATAGGAGAATATACAGTAACACATACAATCAGCTAATAGGTTGGCAACATACTAGAACAGGGGTCCCCAATCTGTGGGCCATGAAGGGTTTACAACTGGACCCTAGAAACGGCCAGCAAGTGTACACATGCATCCTCGCGTGAGCAGTGGGCCAGCGCATGCGCACACTCCATTTGTGTGAGTTGCAGGTGTGCGTGCATGCTGATTGCAGAAGCTACATGCATGTGTGTTTGTCGGCCACTTGCTGGTCCACAAAGCTGGAAACGTTGGGGAACTCTGTACTAGAATGTGTGCACTAAGGGATTGGGACATATATATATACATATATACATACATGTTTCTGGCATGGTAAAAAGTAGGGATTTTGTAAAATGTTGCTTTCAAGATTTATGACATTTGGGGGCAGAGACACTCCTTGTCAAACAGAACTTTTATTTCGATTTGGTGTCATCTTGTTCTTGAGGAGAGAGTTGACTAGGTTCATGAACTATGTTGAAAGCTTGTGGCTCACTGATGGATAAATCCACCCATATTGTGGATGGTCTTCTTAACTTGGATTCTAGCAAAACAAGATCCCACCAACTATTAGTGAGTCAGACATGCAGTTGGATTTATATGAGACTTGCTCAGATCTTCAGCTTCATGGGTGGTATGTTTTTCTAGGTCATCTCAAGTTTATTATCCTCTAGAACAGTAAAATAAAGTCCCAGTATTTCTTGTAGGGTCTATTTCCTGACATGACCTAAACTGGACAGATTATTATCAACCTTGAAAACCAGAAAGAGTTTCTCTTTCTCTCTCCCTCTTATGACATAGCCAGTCAAGGTAGGTCAATCTTGAATCACAGCCTCTTGTTTTTCTGGATCAAGCTGATGTTTTCGTAACAGCTGTTGAACGCCTTCTCCAAGATTATTGTCCACACACACCTCTGCACCTAATGATCATGCTACTCTAAAATTATAGGTGTTACAATAACCTTCTCCAAGGTTATTATCCACCTGGATCTTCCCACATTTTGTCCCCACTACAAGAACTGTGTAAAGTAGGTTAAGCTGAGAGAATAGAATAGAATAATAATGGAATGGAATAGAATAGAATAGAATAGAATAGAATAGAATAGAGCTGGAAGAGACATTGGAGGTCTTCTAGTCCAGCCCCTGCTCAAGCAGGAGAACCATACCATCTAAGACAAGTGACTGTCTAGCCTCTTCTTAAAAACCTCCAGTGATGGGGTGCCCATGATTTCTGGAGGCAAGCTGTTCCACTGGCTGATTGTCCTCACTGTCAGAAAATTTCTCCTTAATTCCAGGTTGCTTCTCCCTTTGATCAGTTTCCAACCATTGTTTCTTGTCCTGCCCTCTGGTGCTTTGGAGAATAACATGACCCCCTCTTCTTTATGGCAGCCCCTCAAATACTGGAATACTGCTATCATGTCTCCCCTATTTCTCCTTTTCTTTAGACTAGCCAAACCCAAGTCCTGCAGCTGTTCTTTGTATGTTTTAGTTTCCAGGCCTTTGATCGTCTTAGTTGCTCTTCTCTGATTTTTTTTGTAAACTCTCAATGTCTTTTTTGTGACATGGTGACCAAAATTGGCTGCTAACCCAGCATCCTAACCATATGAAGCCACCACATTCCTTCCTACCTACTTAGCTTAAAAAGAAAAAAAAATAGATGATCCTGAAGCTTGGATGAAGAGACAGTGACAAGCCACGTTTGTTCACCGAGAAATAGCTCAATTTCTCAGTTCTGTGTCAACCCTTAACCCTTTTCTGTTTTCTCCTGGCTGAGTATCACCCCCTGGCTTCTGCTCGGTGTAGCCCCCTTTATACAGAGCAGATAACCTGGGATCATGCCCATTCTTATGGTCCTCAACATTATTTTATTCTGTAAGGAAGAATGAGTAAAGAAAAGGAGGTGGTGATCATGAAAAGATCCCCCCAAAAAAAGGAGAGAAGAGAAGAGAGCAACATTTCTAGCGGGGATTTTTTGAAAGGGTTGTGACTGAAGTCGGATGATTTGAGAGCAAGGTTCGTCCCTGGGAAAGAAAAGTGAATTCAAGAGGAATACTCCAAACCAAGGTCCCGTATCCAAGAAGCCCATCTCAGAATTCCAATGAAATGTTCTCATCTTCTTATCCTCCTGGGTCTAAGTCGAACTGCACTTATTGCTCAGGTGGGAACTGCTCCGGTCGAGCTCCTGCCCGTTGGCTTTCCATTTTCCCACAGATCCCTTGTCGTCTGTTGGGAGGATGCCAAGGGCTGGCCGTTGGCACCAGCAACAAAGGCAGGACTAGGAGAAACGAAGCAGAGATAAGAGTCATTTAAGGCAGGAATGGAGAGACCGCAGGCTTCTGAGCAGCGCTGCTTCCTCTCTCCTTACCCAGTATTGGAGGAGAATATGTTGAGTGTCAAGAGTGAAAATCTGGCAGCTACGTGCCTCTTTGCTTTCATCTTGCCAATAGAATAAAGGGCGGGGGAGATGATGCTTTTGAATGGGTTAGTCCCGTGGTGGCGAACCTATGGCACGGGTGCCAGAGGCGGCACTCAGAGCCCTCTCTGTGGGCACGCGCGCCGTCGCCCCAGTCCTAGGCCTTCAGCTGGGTTTTATAAAACCTTTTCCCTTTAGGCCTCCGCCGCCGTGTACAAAAAAAGGTTCAATCAATCAGTCAATTTCAACTTCTCGCGGGAAAAAAAAAGAACTTGCAAAGTTGGAATTGATTGATTGAACTTTTTAGTCCCACCCAGTCTGCTGTTACCACCACAGCCACGCCCACCCAATGGGCCACACCCACCCAATGGGCCACACCCACCCGGCACCCAACGATGTATAAGTGGGTTTTGGGTTGCAGTTTGGGCACTCGGTCTCTAAAAGGTTCGCCATCACTGGGTTAGTCAAAACAACGAAGCCTCTCCAGTTCTGCAGAAGTTTGCCAAGAAAGGCTGTCTGGAAACTTTTCAAGGTCATTCTAGCTGGTGTGAAGAAGATAGCAGATGGTTCTCATAACAAAAAGAAATTGCTTATCTGAGCTGCGTAAATATTTTTTTTGGGGAGGGAGGACTGTTGGCTGGGAATTTCATTGTTATATGCTATGGTTAGATGCCTTGGGACTTTGGGGTTAGTTTTCCTTCGCCTATACCCAGGATTCCCAACCTTTTCTATACCCAGCACCCCTAGAACGCTTCTGATATATTCTCGCACCCCTTACAAAAGTTCAAAACAAATTATGCATATATGTTATAATTTTGAAACTTCTAAACCCAGGTTTTTGCAATCCCTGGAATATCGTCTCGCACCCCCAGGGGTGCAAGCACCCCCGGTTGGGAACCCTTGATTTAAATCATACAGTGTATTCAATAAACTAAGGTTTTCAGAAATGAAAGTGATCCTGGAGTTTATTAGGCTATTCGAGCTGGAGGTTGACATTGAGATTGACAGATCCCAAACATGGTCATCAATCACCAATAAAGTTTTGTCTCATTCTTCCTGGCTCAGGATAGGCCCAGAAGTCACTAATGGTAGCTCTGCCTTCACACACTCTGTCAAGTTTATTTGCTCTCCTCCAGAATTAGATAATGGCAATAGCATTTAAGACTTACATACTGCCCCATAGTATTTTACAGCACTCTGGGTGAGAGTGTATTTTACAATGTCAGCACTACTTGCATATTGCCTCCCAACAATCTTGAGTCCCCATTTCATTGACCTTGGAAGGACGGAAGGCTGAATGAACCTTGAGCCCTGTCAGGATCGAACTGCTGGCAGTGGGCAGAGTTAGCTTGCCATACTGCATTCTAACCACCGCGCCACCAGGGCTCCAGGTAAGGTGGCAGTAACCACAGCTAGCCGAAGTCTGCTTGCTGGTGGTAAAAGAGAAGGGGTGTCTGTGTTCTACACACCATAAGAGATGGTTTTCTGCTTCTTGCAAACCATCTTATGTTTTCTCTTGAGCTTCTGCTGAGTGGAGTTGGAGGCAAAAAAGATTGCAGACATCATAAAGGGGGAAGCAATAATAACAAAGATTTCCTCTCTATTTTTGCTGGTACTGATCTGGATGCCTCAGTTCATCATGTCCTCCCTCCTACCCATCGCGTGCCATCCTCTCCTCAACTCTTACCTGAAAGCAGTTCTTGAATTTCCGGCTAACAAAATAGAGAGCCACGGGGTTGATGCAGGAATTGAGAGAGGCCATGTTAATTCCAAAATAATCCATCACCAGAAGGAAACTGGATGGAAAGAGAAAGGAAAGAGCCGCGATGTAGAATGTTAAAGTGAAGCAAGATGACATCTTCAAGGACAAAGTCAACTCTTGATGACTCCAGGAATATATCCAGCACTTTTCTTGGATATGGAAGAGATTGCCGTTGCCTTCCCATCTTCTGGGATGGGTTTTTTTTTTTCAACTTCCCAGCCTAGTCTGTAGCCTTCCATACTTTATCCTAGGATTTAACCCACCTAGCTTTCTCTATCAGCAGAGCTGAGGGCAAGCTGGGGAGGTGTAACCTATTTCTTTTCTTCGAGAATTCTTTCACTTCAAACCAGATCATTCAAAGGATTGCTTAAGACCTGGTAAGTTTATGGATTGACTGTTGCAAGGCACTCTTCATCGGTTGCCCTTGAAAACCATATGGAAGCCTCAACTTGTTCAGGATACAGTAGTGTGACCAGTTGGGGGCATGCCTCAGTTTACCCATCTAACCTTTCACTGGTTGCCAAGTTGCTTCCAGGTGCAATTCGAAGTGCTGGTTGTTACCTATAAAGCTGTACATGGCATAGAGCTTGATTACTTGAGGGAGCTCCTTTCTCCCATAGTATCTGCCCAGCTAATTTGATCTGGGACTCTTCAATTAAACCAGGGGTCTCCAAATGTGGCAACTTTAAGACCTGTGGACCTCAACTCCCAGAATTCCCCTGACCGGCTGAGGAATTCTGGGAGTTGAAGTCCACAAGTCTTAAAAGTTGCCAAGTTTAGAGACCATGAATTAAATCAACCTTCTGCTTTATCTTGCGGAAGGAGCTTACTGACACACAACAGGATTATCTTTGTGAAAGGATCTCGACAAAGGATCTACATGGTGATGACTACTAAATTTTTTGCATTGTTTGGGACTGTCCTATGTCCTGATGATGCCAGATCTTACAAAGTCCAGTCCAGACACTTCCATGATCAAAGCAATAGTTAGATCAGCCTGAAGACCTTGTATTTTGGGGGAAAGGCCGTTAAAATCTTGACAGTGGTTTGTACCAAGCTTCTTTAGATGTTCATCACTCCTTCACAGCCCTGCCTCAAGACTTTATGTTGCTTTTATCAAATGTTTCCAATTTTATGGAGCTTTCTAATGGATGTTGTCATGAAGGTCCTGGCTGGGGTGGAAAGGTGGGAAAGCCATAATTCAGGAGTCCCCAACCCCTGATCCGTGGACCGGTACTGGGCCACAGCATGCTAACAACCGGTCCACACAAACAAACAAAGCCCCATCCGTGGGATCCAGGGAACACACAAAACCACGCACTCTCCGGTCCGTGGAAAAACCTTTCTCCACCGAACTGGTCCCTGGTGCCCAAAAGGATGTGGACCTCTGCCATAATTGAACCAATACACTTATAAATACATAAAGCAAAAAGATTAATTGTCGAAACCGCTGTTTGTTTTGTTTTTAAAGTCTCAACCATCACCGTATGGCCTTTCTGCATATTGTTCTCACCTAAGCAGCTCACATCTATCAGCATCTTGTTGGTTATAGATGGTCTTCTTGAGGATCCTACTGAGATGAAGAGGAAGCCAGCAGAGGGCAAAGATCACCACTAGACAGAAGACGGTTTTGGCCACTTCCCGGCGCTGGAAAACACACATGCGATCATTGAAATGAACAGAACGTTAGAAAAAGTTGGAAGAATTCTCTCACGCGCCACTCCATCCTGTCTTCTCCGGTATTTAGGTCAGACCTTAAGGGGCTTCTGCCTTTTTCTGTTCCCCACTTATTTCTCTTTTCTTGTTGCTTTATCTATTTGCGCTACGGTTGTCTTAAATTGCTGTTAACCACCCGGAATCATAAGAGATGAGATGGGCAGCCATATAAAACTTCCCAATAAAACGTAAGTAACTAAGATGGCCCTGCCAGTCTTAAATATAAAATTAAACAAAAAGAAGAGGCAAATATTTCTTCCTACATTGCCACAAGGTAAGTCTTGGCTGCTAATATAAATAGCCTCCAAAGGAGCTGGACAAATCCACAAAGGGCAGATCTCTCGATGGCTATTAACTTTGATGATGGCTATTAATTTGGTGGGTACTGAATCCACCCATCTTCCTCCAGCATCCAGCATAACCAATAATTATGATTTCATATTCCAAACTGGACTGGAATAATAGGCTAAAAGTCTAGTGCACCTTTGGGTCAAAGGGGGGGGCGATTAGCAAATTATCAAAGAAAAAGATCCATTAATTCCTGACCAACAAATGCACATAATTAATTGACCATTATTTAAATCAGACGAGTCCAACCCACGTCTTGCAGGCCACATGCAGCCCTGGAAAGCTATTAATATGGCCCCACAAGATAATAAAAAAAATAAAGGAAGTTTGTTTTTATACACATTCACTATATTATATATTTTATCATTGGCTTCATCGACTTATCGGCTGCTGCGTATACTTATTTATTTTGTGGATGCTTCTATTGTTTTATTATCTTTTCAGTTGTTTTAATTATAAATTGTAATTAGAATTGGAAGCCACTGAGAATCACGTGGTTGAGTTGGGTGGCTGTAGAAATTGAATAAACGAAATAAAGTAAAATAAAATAATGAAATATATGTGACGCAAGGCAATTCCTCTTCATTCATTGCAGCCCAAGCAAGCCAAAAGGTTGGATTTGGATGGACAATTATGGCAGGAGACAAAATGAAAAGGCAAGAAAGCCTCTCCACGCCCTGTGTTTAGCCAAAGGTGAACGTGTCCTCGATCTTAGCTAGAGGATCTCACCCGCTTCATGTGATCATTGAGGGCCAGCCGCATGCCGTTGCTCTTGCTTAACATCTCGCAAGACATGAGGGAGTAGAAGACCCCAGTGCAGGCCAAAGGCAGGCAGAAGTAAAATCCAAAGAGCCACCAGTCTTTCACGTCCTTGTAAAACTGTAGACAAAGAAAGAAACAGCTTCAAGGAATCGGTGTGCTACGCGTCCACCAAGCTCGCTCGTGTGCAGAAATCGGAACCAGGCCCTCTGCTAAGCAAGGTAGTGAAATTGTTTTGAGTTCTATGGTTGGTTGAACCGGCCAGTTCTGGCTTTTTAAAGAAGCCACAGAGATTGCTATGTTGTGGGAACTCAGCTTTTTTTCTTTTTTCTTTTTGATCACGATATGCAAATGTCAGACTACTGCAGGCTCTTGACTGCAGGACATTTACCCAATCTAAGCAAAGATAGGCTTGTTGTAGAGAGTGCTTTAGTCTACTACTTCTGTATTGTTGGTGAGTAGATTTCACAAGGCTCTTTATCTTCAGAGACCTTGCCCCTGTAGCTGTAGGGAACAGAAGGTCTTGCCCATATCTCTCAATGGTGTCTTTTCTATTTCCAAATTTGAGGGTCATACAGGTACATTGTGTATTCATTGTTTTTAAGGGATGTTAGCTCTTTATTCACATTCTGGGTTACAAAACATATTTGCCAAGCCAGCAAAGGTGGAAAACTTTGGCTTAGATGTGTTGTTTTATTGTTTTCTTTTTTTGTAACGGGTTTTCTATAGCTATCTCCTTCCTTCCTTCCTTCCTTCCTTCCTTCCTTCCTTCCTTCCTTCCTTCCTTCCTTCCTTCCTTCCTTCCTTCCTTCCTTCCTTCCTTCCTTTTTTCCTTCTTTCCTTCCTCCCTCCCTCCCTCCCTCGACCATAATAAAGACATTTCAACTTCGTTATGTTATGCAAAGTCATCCCAAGAGAAATGAAACCAAGGAAGGCATCCTTTCTCTTTATCTTCATATTGTGGTATGAAGTCACCCGTGCCCATCATTTCTTTTGACTAGCCATTCAAAAGGGTGTGTGTATGTCTGATTCTCAACAATTTTCTTTTTTCTTCCTCCACGTACATTTGGAACTACCATCCGCAAGAAGTCGAGCTTATGCCAATGTGAGCATACCTCCAAGCTAGGGCCTTCTGGGATTACAACTCCCAATTTTTCCGACGAGTGCCGGAGAGTAGTAAACCCAACAGAGTTAGAGGGAGCACCAGAATGGAAAAGGACGGATAAATAAGAGCAGTGTACCAAAGTGAAGTGAAGCTTCCAAGCAGCCACTGTGTCTTCCACCTACTCCCAACTAGCTGGAGCCTGTCCATTCAAAGCAGGAAGAGATATACACTGAACGTTAACAGCCTATCGGTTGTTCAACGTCTCTGTTTCCTATCACTGCCAAAGGAGAGAACCTACCACCATAAAGCTGGATTTTTGCTCGGGGGCCAGGAAGCAAACCCAATGAGTCTGTTCACGGTAATCCAGTTTCACCAAGTCAAAGGCAATGGCTTCCGGGATAGCCAGGATGATGGCCATGGCCCAAATGAAAGTCACTTCAACTGCCTTCCACATAGGGATCCCAACGCCCTGGATACGGCTCCAGGAAGCCACAGCTCGGTACCTACAGGAGAAACATAGGAGACACTATTTGCAAGAGGAAATGGTTATTCCAGTGGTGGCGAACCTATGGCACGCGTACCAGAGATGGCACTCTGAGTCCTCTCTGTGGGCACACATCCTGTTGCCCCAGCCTTGCCTCCCCCGCGACCCCCTCCTCACCAGCAGCCCCCCAGAGGAGAGTCGCCCCCGAGCGTGGCCCACGCGGAGCAACGCAGCCAAGGACATGGCAGCCAGGCAGCGTAGACAAGATTCTGCCCTCACGCCCCATCGCGCACAGTTGATGTTGCGGGGCGCGGGCAGAGGGCGTAGCTGCCAGGCGCTGCTGGGCTGCCTGGGCGATCTGCGGCGGGCCCTGGAGGCGGTGAGTGGCCCTGCGGGCAGGCGGGGTGGGCGCAGGGCAGGGGGCGGAGCAGGGGCGGGGCCAATTTTGGGGCACTCGGTCTCTAAAAGGTTCGCCATCACTGGGCTATTCATTCCGTAAAAATGAGAAATACGCCGAAGCGTTTATTACCGATCGATACTGAGAGCACAAAGGCTGAGGACGGTGATGCCAACAGAGGCCTTCTGTATGAATGGAACCAATTTACAGACCTGCACCCCGAAAGGCCAGTCTTCTGCAAGAAGCTGGAAAGAAAAAGAAAGGAAAGAAACTCGTGGTTATTTGTCCATAATGGAAGATTCTCGGGAGAATCCAGGTAATAGAGAGATTCCAGACAAATAAGACTTGGGGAAGCACAGCTGGTCCTATGAGCACAACTGAGGGCAAAAATTTTCTGCTGCTAAGTGAAAACGGTTGTTAGACGAGTTTTGCCCCATTTTACGGCCTGTCTTGCCACAGTTAAGTCAATTCGTGCAGTAATTAGGTTAGGAGCATGATTGTTAAGTGAATCTGGCTTTCCCATTGACTTTGCTTGTTAGATGTGCACCACAGGTGATCCCGGGACACTGCAACTGTCATAAATATGAACCGGTTTGCAAGCGGTTAAATTTTGATCACATGACCATGAGAATGCTGCAAGAGTTGGATGGAAAACCGTTCATGTCACTTTTTTCGGTGCCGTTGTAACTTTGAATGATCACTAAACAAATTGTTATAAGTCGAGGACTACCTGCATCGTCTCTACCGAAATATCATCATGTATTAAAAGGCACCCCTGATTCCCAGCATCTCTGGGCAGTTAAGCTTGTTGGCTTTATATTTTTATGTAGAATCTGTCTATGTACTAGATCTGTAGGAGACAGTAAAAACCATCACTATCCTGTAATTAAAACCAGACATATTGTAGGAGATGAGTAGGCAGAGTCCAAGGCTGGAGTCAAGCGCATCATCAGTTTAGAATCTCTACATCCCCATAAGTGATCTACGTCGCCCCTTAAAATCCATTAACAATCTGGCACTAATTTGCCTTGACTGTTAGTAATTCAGATTCTTGCATGAAATAAACCCCTTAGTGCTTTTGAAGTCTATCTTTTGAGCAACTAGGATGATTAAAGGCCTGGAGACTAAAACATTTGAAGAACGGTGGCAGGAACTGGGTATGGCTAGTCTAGAGAAAAGAAGGACTAGGGGTGACATGACAGCAGTGTTCCAATATCTGAGGGGTTGCCACAAATAACAAGGGGTCAACTTATTTTCCAAAGCACCAGAAGGCAAGACAAGAAACAATGGATGGAAGCTAATCCAGGAGAGAAGCAACCTAGAACTAAGGAGAAATTTCCTAACAGTGAGAACAATTAATCAGTGGAACAACCTGGCTCCAGAAGTTGTGGGCGCTCCATCACTGGAGGCTTTTAAGAAGAGACTGGACAGTCACTTGTCTGAAACGGTATCGGGTCTCCTGCTTGAGCAGGGGGTTGGACTAGAAGACCTCCAAGGTCCCTTCCGGCTCTACTTTAATTGATTGAGGCAAACCATTTATATACCATTTATACTCTTTCCTCTATCCTGGTTCCTGACCTTGCACCTGACATACCTTTAAAAATCCCAAGAGCAAGAAAAGTCCAAACTTCGTATCAAAACTGCCAGGTGTCCCCAAAAATGGGATTAAGAAGGCTCATCTTTATTGTAATTCAGGCACGGCTGACAGTCAGTTGAGAGTCACTGGGGCAAAGACGAGAGCTGGTCCACCTGCTCCAGATTGAATTACTACTTTTCCTGCAGATTCTTGCATGTGATCAGACATGATCCTTTCCTTTCTCATGATCACTCATGAATGGTGGTTGCATGTTTACATTCTCTGCATTTCTGGATAACCTCCTGACCCAAACAGAAGCCAGAGAAAAATATTAAAAAGTTCACATGACCACGGAAACGTCTGCAGACAACGCTGGCTCAAAGGCCTTGAAGCAGAGATGAGCACCACCCAGCATAGACAGTAACAACTAGCAGTGTAAAATTTCCTGACAGTTAGAACAATTAAC